GGGGTTTTGCTGTTGGTGGCGTCGCTGGTGGCCGCACCACCCGCCGGAGGCTTTTACCGACTGTCAGTGCGTGAATAACAATAAAAATCGCTATAAATATCGCAGCGTGCCTGCTGCTTACAGGTGCGAGCTGAGGATGAGCAGGGACAAGCAGGTCGATGAGGACGATGACGACAGCGAGCAGTTCGAAGACTTCATGGAGAATTTCAACCAGCTGGAGCTGCTGGAGACGCACCGGCATCTGATTCCCGTAGGGACTCAGAGCTGCTGGTCGGGGCAGTCTGACGACGACGACGACGAACAAGAAAGAAGTGAGGAATGGTACGAAATGCAAGAAAAAAAAATGGAAAAAAATCCAGGGAAATTGCTGCTCTGGGCAGCCGAAAACAACCGGGTAAGGCATTTACTCTGTTCCTGTGCGTCGCTGGCGAGAATGCTGTTTTGAGCAGATATTGACAGTTTCATCCACAAACAAAAATTTACCCACGCTTTCCTGTGTCTCTCTGACCTCTCCTGACCCAGCTTTGCCAGCCGCTGCGTGTAAAACGCCTCCCTGTGTAGCCCACGCTCACGGAAATACCTCTGGATCCATCAGCTGCCAGTGCAAACGCTCTGGTCGTGGTTCAGAGTTAAAGCTACAGCGCTCTTAAACTTCCGTGAACCGAAGGCACGCCAGGCGTGCGCTTCCTTCACGGCAAGTAAAGCCTTTTAACTGGGGTGGAGGGGGCATATCGGAAACTTTGTTTTCTCAAAAGCTCCCTATGCAGATCATGAGTGGCGGCTTTCCTGTCTTTATGGGGAGGAAAAGAAAAGTTTTTGTTCTTGGCAGCGAGGGAGGGACGACTGAGGTTGCTGTCAGGCAGCTGCACCCCTGTGTACGCTCATTTTCACAGCTCCTTTTGTGCGCACGTAAGCTCCATCTGCGGTCCTGTGGAGGTACCGACGTCTGCACAGGCAGTGGGGAGCAGGTCTAGGCAAAGCTGCGCCTCAGGCCTTGCAGCTGAACACTTACAGCAACGTGGGGCACTCTAGGGCCGTGTGTTTTTGCGCTGGGCTGTTCGTGTTGTATCTCTTTAAAAACAAAAGCAAAAAAACCCCGAACCAAACAAAGAAAACCCACCACCCCCTCCGCCAAAACATCAACAACAAAAAATGCACACAAAAAAAAGCCCACCCCACTCCAGTAACAAAGTAACAATAACTGGTTTTATTTTAAAATTTCTGATTGTACTTGAGCCTTTTGGAGACTGACAGAATTGTTTCCTCATTGCACCTCACAACAGTAAACCCCATACATCTTGCTTGCGGAGTTTTGTGTTAAATTGCCCGTTTTCCTTAAATAGCTGAGCACAGTGAAGAGGCTCCTTTCCGAGCAGCTGGCTCCCGTTAACGCTCGTGACGAGGACCAGTACACCCCCCTCCACCGGGCTGCCTACAGCGGGCACTTGGACATTGCGCACGAGCTGGTCGCCCACGGGGCGGACGTTCACGCGCAGACGGTGGACGGCTGGACGCCCCTGCACAGCGCCTGCAAGTGGAACAACACCAAAGTGGCCGCCTTCTTGCTTCAGCAGGGCGCAGACATCAACGCGCAGACGAATGGTTTGCTGACGCCGCTGCACATCGCCGCAGGGAACAAGAACAGCAGAGAAACCCTTGAACTGTTGCTGATGAATCGCTACGTGAAACCAGACCTGAAAAACAACTTGGACGAAACGGCCCTTGACATCGCCAGGAGGACTGATATCTATCACTACCTTTTTGAAATAGTAGAGGACTGCATAAATGCTGTGTCCCCTTAAAAGTTGTGACGGAGCTTGCGAGTGGGAGTTGTGCTGCGTTGTTTGTGTTCTGCATGCTCCTTGGTGGTGGTCTGTCCCTCTGCAACAAGGTTTTCATTTAAGATACTTCAGTGTTCTCCTCAGGCAAAACCTCGCTTCTTGCCGCTCGGACCCATGGTCTCACTCATACTCTGAGGCGTTACTACTGCTATTCCAGTGAGTCTCCGTTTAATTAGCGCAGATTTGGAGGGGCCTTTGTAATTGGGCTGTACTGCCATAAGCAGGAGGGAAGACTGGAATATTTACTTGATGTGAGAGAGTTCTGGCTTGGTTATGCAGAGTTTATTACAGCTCACTTGAAAATTATTTTTTGAGAAATTTAACTTTTTTACAACTGCATGAAAGCTCAGAACGAATGTAACTTATTTGGGTGATACACAAAATGTTTAGTGATCCTGGTGTAAGGCTTATTATGAAATAAAATATTTAACCCTGAGTATTTTGTTGTCATATTTTTAATTGAAAGCTCAATTATCAATCCAATTGCCTGTTCTTAAATCAAAAGCATTATTCATAGGATGATAAAGTAGTTTTGGTTTATATTTTCCTGGTACTTTTCAAGGAAGTGGCTTTCTGTGAAGATCCTGTTTACTTTTCCCTTGCAAATGAAGTTGAGTAAAGTTCTAATGTCATGGATACGGCATACAAATGAACCTCAACTGTGTGAGGACAAACAGCCAACGTTCTCTTGTGTCCGATTTAGGTACAGCTAGTTTACTGGAGGACAGCTCGACAGTGTTTCTCTTCCACTTTTGAACCCCCAAAGAGAATTCCTCATTCCAACTCAATTATTAGGACATCAGCATAGTTTAAAAACTTTATGGGTATTTTTCCTCAAAATTCTTTAATTTCTAGACCATTCATTTATTTTCCTTTTTGACACTTTTTAAATTTGTGATAGCTTGTATTACTAATCCTAGGCATTCACATCCGAGCTGGGCTTCCAAAAGTTCTGACAGAGATTTGGCTGCCGTCATTTAACCAAACTCAAGCTGGTGGGGTGGGTGGGTTGGTTGGTTCCTTAATAATTTTGAGGGCTTTAGTGCACACTTGCATGCGGCTTCTCTCTGCAGTCGTGCCAGCTAGAGCCTCACTGGTTTGCAGTGAAGACTTGGGACTCTTCATCTGAGGTATTCTTAGCAGGTCTTAGCACTGAGTACTATTTGGTTTAACTTAGCATTATTTAACAATTTGTCTACTATAAATTTTCACGAGACATCATAATTTGCTGCTTCTGTTTGTCAGTTAAGTCTTTCTACTAGCAAGTAAAAAACCCAAAGATTTTTAGAGCTGATTTTAGAATTTAATTTACCTGTGTTACTATTCACATCAGCTGTATCAGGCTGCATCTCTCAATCTTTCAACTTTGTCTGGAGGATCAACGTTTCTGGATCATTTAGCTATCTGTGAGAGGTCCCGTAACGTGCACTTCCCATCTTTTTTTCTTTCTCTTTCCCCCACCTTGGTTCAAGTGTAAGTTTCAAGACAAAAATTACTACTCAATGCAAGTATTTAATGAGTGAGGGTTTTTAAGTATGAATGCAGTACATCTCAAAACAATTACTCTGAGCAGGTAGATCTTTTTTGATCAATAATGGTTTAGAAGGATACCAGTAGAACTTCAGCAATGCTGTCAGCACAGCACTGTGTTGTATGGGAATTAGTATACTAAAGATTTTCCCATGGTAATGGATGCTGCGTGATTTTGAGCTTCAACTTTGCCACCTGTAATTTAGGAGTGGAGAAACTTGCTTCTCTCTGTTAATCAAATTGAACTGAAACTTGAATGTAAGACCTGAAGTACTGTCACTTGGTCTGAGAGCTGTAACAAACCACTTTGTCGTCCCGTGCAGACACCTTACGGAGTGATCCCAGGCTCCTTCCAGACACCACTAACAGAGCCGAAGCACGTTCATAGCAGCAGCAGCAGCGTTGGGGCGCGTTGGCCCACATTTGGTGCCCTGGTCTAGCAGCTGTGGAGGGCATGTCCGTCACTTGCCTTTCTAGAGGCCCTGTTCAGCAACTGTTAGAAAATACAGAACTGCCTCTGAACTATGAGTGGTACAAAATGATTTTGAATGCTTACTATTCTGAAAGTTTGGTTTCAGGTCGTCTGTGGAAGATGAATGCACCTTGAGATGCATCAAGGAAAAATAAAGAAATGGATTACACCATGCATTTGTGTAACTAGACTTGGTTTGTATCTTACAAATTCTCAGTGCTGCATGCAAAGTCTTGATTTCAAGGAAAGTGCTGTGGGGCAAGGCCTCTGGCCAGGGGAGTGGGAGCCTGGAGAGTCAAGTCTACTTGGGCCCTATGAAGTGTCTCAAGATGCCTCATTTTACGAAAAGCGTTATGGAAACCAAGCCAGTGCTTTTGGGTAGATCTGCATCGTCCATCCAGTTCAACCGGACTCCTCCGTCTTCACTTCCACCGGTCCGCCATT